ACCAGGAATTTTCATTTGTTTTACTGTTATATCTCTGACAATCAGCCTAAACTCCTCAAGTCTACTCGTGGGAACCTAGTGAAAGGTTAGCACAAACCTTTGCCTATGGTGAGATAGGGAAAGCTGTCAATGGTTAGTAAATCTAGAAGATGCATAACCAACTAGGAAGCACTAATTTGTGGTTTCAAAATACATGTGGAATATTTTCACCATAAATTGATCATTTTCAGAGTCAGTAGGCATTTGAGAAATAATTGGACATAACTCAATGACTAAGCAACGGGTATGGCCACCTCAATTTTTCCCTTGGCTTTTTTTTAATCCATATAAGAAACATTTAAATCACATAGAACTTAAGTATGTTTTCTGTTCTATCTCATCCCTGAAGCCTGGTAAACAAAAAATATACCTCTTTTTAAGCAATATCTCACATCAATATTTTGAATGTGTCATTATTAGAAAATTTAATTCTCCCAGTACTTTCTACTTATGACTGAATACTTAATCTAATAATAAGCTATTAGAGCTGAAGCAAGCCTTTCCCATTATATAAAGAAAGAAAGAAGCATGTATTGAGTATCTTTTCAAAATATGCAATGTCAGAGCTACTAACAAAATCCATTTCTTTTGGTTTTTAGTTTACTCACCTTTACACATTGTTTCCTACACATCACTTCTTTGGAAAAGCACTGGCTAGGAAGTCAGCTGTTTTCCAATGAGCTCACATGTGCACAGAGAATTCTCGGTTCTTGGAGGTTTCCGCAGAAAACTCCATCTGAGACACAAGCCCAGGTCCTTCCTGGTTGGAAACAGAAGGTCCTCTGATCATGCTGCTCTTGACTTATTTCTTTCATACCTGAGACCCCTCCCAGATGTTCAATCCAGCCAAGGTAAAGTGATAAAGCCAGATAGGTACCACCACAAAAACCTAGTCTGATAGGTGCTTACTATCTACCTTCTTTATTTGGATCAACATTTCTCACAAACTCTTTCTCAAAAGGGAGAGGGTAGAAAAAAGGTTATGTAGGGTGTTAATTTGAAGATGATGCAAACAAATGAAGACCTAATAACAATAATAGACAAAAAGGCCAAACTATTAATTTTTAAAAATTAGCAATCTTCTTATAAAATAAAGCTTTATCCCTACCCCATTCACAGTAATAAGATCCTCATGAATTAAAGGCCTATATATAAGAAATACAAAATTCTACAATACGAAAAATAAAGGAGACTATATCTATAACCATGGGCTGAGTAAGGCTTTCTAAAACAAGACATAACAAGTAAAAAGCATAATTTAAAACACCAAGAAGTTTGGTGAACAAAAAATTAAATTTTTTGATTAACAAAACATACCGTAAACACACTCGAAAGAAAAATGACAGGTAAGAGAATATGTTTGCAAAATAGATAGCAAGAAAGGATTAGTAGCCAGTATACATTTTTAAAAACTTGAAATCCAATAGAAAAACATGCAACAGACATGAACGGAAGAGTCACATAAAACTCAAATGGCCAATATTAACACAAGCAGCTCAATTTCTCTTGTAATCAGTAAAATTCAAATTAAAAGTTTACCCCTCTGTGATTGCCTAAAATTAAAAATTTTAACAATTTCAAGTGTGGGTGAGGACACAGATGAACATACTCTGCCATCCACTGCAGGCTGGAGCATCAATTGGTACAGACGACCTTTGGAGGGTACTTTGGTGACATCTATTAATTCCAAAAATGCACATACACTATGATATAGAGATTCCATTTCTCACACATTTACACATGAGAAATTTTCTCACATGTTTATGGGGAGGTATAATCAAGCATGTTCAGTGCAGCAGTATTAGTAATGACAAAATAATTTTAAGCAATGCAAGTGCCCATCAATAAGGGAGTGATTTAATAAATTGTGATATAATTAATCTAAGATAAACTATAGCATCTCCAGGAGTAAAAGGAGGCCAATATATCTGGAACTTAATGAACAAAGAGGAAAGTGGACAGTCAGGGCCACCACTTTTCCATGCAGGTTGTTCATTGAACATCTCTAGGGAGCACTAGTCATATAGACTGAAATATGAAAGGCATCCCATGGAGTTGTGCAGTGCACCATCTGCACAATAGTACATGGAGGACCTGCAGATGGGATGATGTTGGGGATTAAAGAGGAAACCAAATCACGCAAAGCTTCAGAGGCCACGGTAAAGAATCTGAGTTTTAGTCTAACAAAAATTCCTCTGGCAGCTATATGAAATGAATTAGAAGGGGATAAGAGATGAAGTAAAAGATTGATCAGGAATGTATTGCAATGATCTAACCAAGAGACGGTAGCAGCCTCAACCTGGAAGGTGGCAATGGAAATGGAAAGATGTGAGCAGATGTAAGCACATCATGCAGGTAGAATCTACACGATCTGCTGATACATTAGGCTAGAAAACGGAGAGGAAGTGTTGGAGAGAGTGCAATCAAGATTACGACCAGTTTTCTGTATGGAGTCCTGAATGGATGGTGGGTGCATTTACTAATCCGAGGAAGGCTGGGGGAGGAATAACTTTCAGCAGTAACATTTCTAACATGTTCGGATTGATAGGACTTAGAAGCAACCAAGGTGCCCTTTAGTAAGTGAATGGATAAATAAGCTGTGGTATATGATGGAATATTATATATTATGTATTATTCAGCCCTGAAAACAAATGAGCTATCAAGCCATGAAGACATGAAGGAACCTTAAATGCATATTACTAATGGAGAAAAGTCAATCTGAAAAGGCTGCAAGCTGTGGGACTCTAAGTCTGTGACCTGCTAGAAAAGGCAGAACTATGAAGACAGTAAAAATCTTGGTGGTTGTCAGGGGTTGGGGATGGGGGTGGGAGGGCTGAAGAGATGAAGCACAGAGGATATTTGCAACAGTAAAACTATTCTGTATGATACTATAATGGTAGATACATGTCATTACACATTTCTCAAAAATCCACACAATATACACCAAGCATGAACCCTAATGTAACCACGGACTTCAGATGATAATCATCTGTCAGCACAGGTTCATCATCAATTGTAACAAATGTACAACTCCGGTGCAGGATGTTGATAGTGAGGGAGGCTGGGGAGAGGGGAAAAGGGGAGTATGTGGAAACTCTGTACTTTCTGCTCTGTTTTGCTGTGAACCTAAAACTTCTCTAAAAAAATCAAGTCTACTTTAAAAAATACCATGCAAGTATTTAAAAGAAGCAATAGGCAAAATATGTTAACATCAGAGTTTCATAAATTATTGAGTGAAAAAAGGAAGTATATTATGCATAGTTTATATATAATTTCATTTATGTGAAATAAATCAGGTACTGGATATACACACATTAATTGTGTGTTTACAGAAAAATAAAGTCTGCCTACATATTCAATAAACTGTTAACAGTGGTTCCTGAGAATGAAGAGAGGAGAAAGAACAATGGGATTTCATTTTTTTAATGTAGACTCTTCTATACTGTTTAAATGTCTTATAATGAACATGTACTACTTTAGTAATACTTACAAAAACAATTTCAAAAGGACACCTACTTTTTTAACCTTCCTTGTATTTTTTTTTCTTGGTGAGGAAGATTGGCCCTGAGATAACATCTGTTGCCAATCTTCCTCTTTTTTTTTCTCCCCAAAGCCCCAGCACATAGCTGTATATCTCAGTTGTAGGTGCCTCTAGTTCCTCCATGTGGGACACCACCCCAGCATGGCTTGATGAGTGCTGTGCAGGTCTGCACCCACGATCCAAACTGGCAAACCCCTGGCCACTGAAGCAGAGCATGCAAACTCAACCACACACCAGGCCAGCCCCCATCCTTGTATTCTTAAAATAAACTGTAATTCAATATTTATGAAAATACAGTCCAAATAACACCTATGTCAGAAACACCTGGGTGTTTATTAAAAATATACTTCCTAGACCCTACCTCAGCTTTAATGAATCAGACCCTCTAGGGCGAGGTATAGGACTTTGCGTTCTTAACAACCACACCGGGTGATTCCCACCTCTACCATTCTGAATTGCAGTAAGTCCAAATGAATCATGTAGTTGTTTAAAAATCAGCAAATGCCAACGTTCCTGGACAAACACCTACCAGTTTCCTGTCAATCTAAAAATGAAAGACAACAGTTAGTACAGGCCTGGTCCAGAAGGAGAAAAAGCGAAACAACCAGCTTCGTGGCTCAAGACATGCGGTGAAGCAGCACACACTCTAAGAGGCACTGTCATGTCAGAACAGAGAAAGGCAAACTTCATACAGATTCCGTAACGAGAGAAAAACTGCCAGATGTTCAGAACTTTCTTCCCCCTCTCAGAATTCCCATCTGGTCAGTTATCCACAGAAGCAACAAGTGATATCTGGGGGACTGTTAACCTATATAATGTTTCTACTTCAGCTCATACTGAAATGAATGTTCTCATGCTTCACATGAAGCAAACCCCGAGAGTCAGCACTTTCTGAAGAGATGTGGATTAAATTATTGTCAAGTAAACTGACACTTATTTCCATTTTTACAGCCACTTAAAATGTATCTTGACTTGATTACACTCTACATTTTAATCAGAAATGCACCCACACACTTAATGAAGAATAAGTCATATAGTGAGGTCTTCTTTCTTGCACTATTTGAATCATCTTTTTGAAAGCATTATTAAGGTAAGATGTGCCCAAGAACCTCACATTCCTGAGATAAGAAGACATTCTCAGAATCTCTGCTTCTGACACCTCTCTACAATGCAGTGCAGAGCCACAGTACCAGCCACAAGGAGCAGAGTCAGCAGGAGTGACAGAAAGCTTTTCAGTACTTGGCCCCGTTACCAAAAGCCTACAGTTAGTGCAATTAGAACAGTTAGTTACCAAGGTACAGTGTGTTCAGCTAGGAGTAACTCTTGGAAGATAAGGTAAGTTCTTAAAGGACAAAATGATGTGTTTACTGCATTTCTGAGTAATCCTGTTTTTGAAACTTGGGTTTTGTTTTGTTTTTAGCCTTATCTGTAAGTGACCCGTCTTTCAGAAGCCATGAATTATCCTGGATGTCTTTTTCTTCCTTTCGCATTCGAAAAAGGACGCATATTCAATTGCAGTTCCGGCCTCTTTCTGCAGATGGCATCCTATTTTATGTGGCACAAAACTTAAAAGCACAATCAGGTAAAGTTGGTAGGATCTTTGTTTGCAGGAAAAAAAAAGTCTTAATGAATTCCTAATAGCCTATTAAGTAATGCACAACGGACTATTTTAATTTTAAGCTACCTAGCCAATAAAATATGTGAACACTTGAACTTTTATGCTGTATCGTCACTGCAAGTATGTTTATGAATTGACTCCCTAAATATGTTAATAAAATAGCAAGAGCTTTGTTAGAATTAAAGTTAACAAAATCCAAACATAGTGTATGCTCAACTTTAGAACAACCCCATCAAAAAAAGAAATTGAAGCCATGCATGATAGTCTGATGTCAAAAGGGACAAAATCTGAATATAAAAGATAAAGGAAAGGAAGGCATGGCTGATATATTTCTAGAAAATTCATTCACACTTCTAGCTCCAAAATATTTTAAATTGTTCTGTCATCTCAATAGTAAACCTAGGATCTGCATTCCAAAATAAGTTTATAAAAATCATTTTTAACTATTAAAGTTGCATAATTATCATAAAACAATATGCAATAAAATATCCAAGTAGTATGCTCCAATTTGAAAAATTGATCTTTGTGTTTTTATTACTTTATTCTTGATTTTCATTTTCATATCTGCCTCCAGAACTTTGACAAAGGCATTTGCATAGATACATTTCTACTTCAAAATATTTTTAAAATTTTACATTTAAGCTTTTCTTTTATCTTGTTTCTCAGAAAATGAAATTTTGGTATTGAGAAATAATTAAATCTGTTTATTTTGTTTCTCATAGTCAACAAAAATGGTGCCCTCATTTTCAAATCTAATCTAAGTAGTTTTTTTAAGGGTATCTTACTGTGCTGCTAAATGATGAGAAGATCAGATAATCAGACCAAAGTGTTTCCATCTCAATGCACTGGCGAAATACCTTCAAAATAATTTCAAGGAGAAAAGATGATAATTTCAAAGAAAAAAGATAACACGATTGACCTACAAAATATACCTTCGAAGATATTTGTTCCCCTGAGATTTCATATTTGGTTTTAAATTCATGATTAATTTAAATCTCCCTGTGAAAATGCCAAATGGGAAAATCACATGCAAACAGAAAATTTCTGTTTATAAATCAAGAGACATTAAAAGTCAGTTTCAGTTATTTTACTCCTAAAAAACCCGACGTTAACCTTTGTATGATAATGGCAGAAAATCAAGGGATATTCAGGCCATTCTGTCACTGGCCAAGAATGTTGTACCATAGTTTTATAATCAGTACAGTGCATATATATTTGTGTTTATGTATAGAGAATCAAAAGCTCATACACACCAACACACACAGAGGGGTAAGAGCACATGTTGTTACACCTGTTATTAAGTGGCATTGTATTTCAGGTGGTGACAGTCAAGATTTTCCTTTTTTTCTGCCATTAGATACTATTTACAAAGAGAGCTGAAAACAGATTTACTAGTTTCATGTAATGATTGGTGCTGTGTCTGACACTTACGTAAGGAAATCATGAAAACTTTAAAATAGTACAGACCTAAACTTCACATTCTCAGCCTTAGATTGACCTAAAGGTAATCATCAGATGAAAGGCATAAGCTTATTAGCAATCAGGTGGTGTAATCAAGTGATGAAGTAGGCTTCATCTATTCAAGGTTGCATAGAATGCAGGTGGCTGTCCTGTACTTTGTACCTTTCTGAGGAGCCACCTCTGACAGATTCCAGCTCATCCTCTAGTAAGAGGAGCTGTCAGTTAAAAACACCCACACACTTAATGCACAATGTCAAAAACCGCAAATTTAGATTTTCAGCAGCCAATTAGGTTTTCATATGTGGAAAACCAAATTCTCAATTAACAAGGTTTCTGTGTCTCCTTAGAGGTTAATAATTTGAATCATCTCAAATAGTGTAAACTTAAAATAACTTGAAAATTATCCTAGTTCACTTTAGATCTCTGACTTTGGAAAGAGATTTTAAAGAGAGAAGTCCTTGGCACCTGCTTATCTGTTTCTGCTATGTATTTAATACCTTAACATGAGTTTTTGGACACATAAAAAATACCAATATTATGTTAAGCATAAATTAATCACAGATAGCCTGAATTCATCTTGATATAGTTACAATCCTCCCAGACAAATGTGTATTTAAAAAGCCTAGTCATCCACAACATAAAGTTAAAGCAATTCAAACAATAAAAGACAAATAAAATTAGTTAATATTACCTTTGCTTTCCTTCTCTAGAGAAAAATATAAAACTTCCCTAATAGGCTGCACCTGTATCTCTTCCCAAATGTTAGGTCCTACAGGTCTCTTTGACCTGTGATGTGCACTGGGGAAGGCAGGGGATGGGTGTGGGCAAGGGCAGCACGGACGGAGGGCCCGGCCCAGGCACGGTAGTAGCCGAAGTGAATTCATTCATGATCTTTCAATCATTTACGAGCTGTTCCTGGTAAGGACTGTCCACTAGCGGTGGACTTTTAACATTTACTTTAATGTCAATCTGAACTCATGACCCGTGACTACAGCACCATATTCTAGTCAACTAAAAGGCCCGCATGACAAAAAGTTGCTAATTCAGCTACAAGAGCAATTTTAGCTTCCAAGGCCACAGAAGGAGAGAAACCCCCCCTTTTTTTTTTTTTTTTGCCAACTCTTCATAAGACAAGAACACAGCAGCAAAGCCATGTTACAATAAGCCTTCCTTGGCAGCAGCTACTCTCCTTGCTCTTTCTGCTGGTTGGCAACTTGACCAGCGATGTCGCAGATCCCAGCTTCAGCCTTCCGAATCAGTTTTTAGATTCTTTTTATTCCAGTGTAGCTCTTCACTGTAAGATTGTTTACTATAGGACACTCTACAACACAAGTAGCAAGAAAAACTCCTTCCATAATCCTGAGAAAGAGAATTGGTTTTAGCCACTGGCAGGCCACAAAGTATACTCAGAATGCTATAAATTTTTAAAACTTAATATCAATTATGTTTCATTGTTCTAGTTTCTTGTGGTATAAAAAATTTAAATGATTCAATTTGTATTCAATTTTTTCTTATATAACCTAAGTGTATAATGCTGCTTCTCTTTCCTTAGACTTAAAATGCTGTTGATGTTAGAAAATAAACTTGAGTTTTTTCCATTTGTTAGGAAGCTTTTGAAAAACAATTTACATATTATTATGTGAAAAAGATGTTTTATTTTTTGCTTTCAGCCGAAAACTAGTATTTGAAAAATACTCCAAATCATCCACCCCACCTTCATGTAAAGGTATTCTTAATTCACCAATTATTTATTGAGCATCTAATTATGTGCTCAGTGCTGTGCCAGGTGCTGGGGATAAACTATCAGCCAAATCACACACACACCCTGTTCTCATGAAGCTTCTGAGCTGGTGGATGAGTCAGCTACTAATCAGATAATGACAGATGTAATAACAGAGATTATATTGACTAGAAATTCTCTCTGACGAAAATGATTAAACCAGAGAATCATACTTTGCATGGGCTCGTACACTTTTCTCAGGTGGAAATGTTAGGAGGACGACCCTAGCTGCCAGGTCTCCCCACCGACCTGCACGGTCTGTGCGGACCAGCAGGGGGAGCAGAAAGGAAGGACGCTGTTTGCAGGAGGGAGGTGAGACAGCGCGGCATTGAGGAAGGGGGAAGAGAATAGGAGTATGTGCCAAGAAACTTCCCTGGGAAAGGAAAGGAAAGAATGTTTTACTGGTTGTGAAGTGCTAGGGGGAAGGGAAATGCTGTCTTGAGGAAGCTTTCTGCATGGTTTGTTGCGTAGACCACTTGGCTATGGTCTCGAAGGGCTCCCTTCTTTTCCCAGGCATGTGGAGTTGCATTTACTTTTCCTCTGGATGCCTCGCTGCAACTTCATACACATGCCAGGTCAGATTTGTTCACACATGCCTGTACAATTATAAAGTGAGATAAATATTGTGAAGGAGAGAAACATATTGCTATTAGTCACTAATAGGAAGAACCTAGCCCACTCTGGGGAATCAAGGAAGACTTCACTGAGGAAGAGGCGTTTGATCTGGGACCTGAAAGGTAGGTAGCAGTTACCTAGATGAGGTGGAGGAGCATCGCAAAAAGAAAACATGCACAAAGGTGATGAAAGCCTGACAAGGTCAGTGTTGCTGGAATAAAGAGGAGGAATGGGGCAATACACTCCAGGTCAAGCTGGAGAGGGGCCCAGAACCCACAGAGCCTGATGGCTATGTAAAAGATTGTAGGTTCTTATCCCAACAGTGAGTGCCATTAAAGGGTAGCATAATGATCAGACTTTCATTTGAAAAGATCACTTTCACTTCAGCGTAAATTAGAAAATTAATCAGAAAGGAAGGAGAGTCCGGAGCCTCTAGCAATAGATCAAGCCAGAGATGACAGTAAATTTAACTAAGGTGGCAGGAGCGAAGCAGACAGAATCGAGATGTTTACAATGAACAAGATGCTAATAAGTCATGTGATTATCGACTATCTTGTGATAAGTTATGTGTGTAGCAAAGAAAGGATGGTATCAAGGATCACACCTAAATTTTTGGTTTGAAAAACTGGATGAGTCACTCAACTCACTGAGTTTAGGTAGACTGGAAGAAGCCAGGCGTACGGGAGGAGGTTAACAAACGGAGACATGAGCTCCAGAGCTTGAGGTGCCTTTAAAACACCAGAGCAGAGATCTCAACTGGGGATTTGTACTTGTGTACTTGTAGACAGAACTGGATGCCAAGGTCAGGGCTGAAACTTGGGAGAGCATAAAATATAAGAAAGGGTTTTCATAGCACCACTATCAACTGCTCTTATTTCTTTTACCTGCCTCCCCAATTTATGCCAAAAACAGAATCAGTGGCTTGCAGTAAAACATCCAACTTACTCATTTTTACACTTTCACCCGTAACTAAAATCATCAAAGCAAAACCTCACTGTAACTTGGTACCACAGTACATTCATTCAGTGCGAAATATTTACAACTAGGGACTACTTATGTGGCCAAATCCTGAACAAAAGAATAGAGGATATGTGTATGAATGTATACCCGCATACTTCTACCTATAAATGGAAACGAAAGTCTCCAACATACTTGTGATCAAGATTTTGTTACTTTCTTTTCCAAAACCAAAACTTATTCAAGCAGCCAGAGAGGGCAAGAGTAGTTAATGGAGTAACATTTTACTGTTCCTAATTAAACTAGTTGTTTTCTTTCTTAACAGGTGATTTTTTATGTATCTCTTTAGTAAATGGTTCTGTTCAACTTCGCTACAACCTTGGTGACAGAACGATCATTCTAGAAACTCTCCAAAAAGTAAATATGAATGGAAGTACTTGGCATGTAATTAAAGCAGGAAGAGTTGGTGCAGAAGGCTACTTGGATCTGGATGGGAAAACTGTAACAGAAAAAGCCAAGGCTGAAATGAACTCCCTGGACACAAATACTGACTTCTATATAGGAGGAGTGTCATCCTTAAATCTTGTAAATCCCATGGCAATAGCAAATGAACCTGTAGGTTTTCAAGGTTGTATCCGAGAAGTAATTATAAATAATCAAGAACTACAGTTAACTGAATTAGGAGCAAAAGGTGGTTCAAATGTAGGTGACTGTGATGGGACAGCCTGTGGGTACAACGTGTGCAGAAATAGGGGTGAATGTGTAGTAAACGGCACGACTTTTTCTTGCCAATGTTCGCCACCTTGGGCTGGAAATACATGTGAACAGTCTGCGTACTGTTTGAATAATCTTTGTCTCCACCAGTCTCTGTGTGTACCCGACCAGTCTTCTTCTTACCGTTGTTTGTGTACTTTAGGTTGGGAGGGAAGGTATTGTGAAAACAAAATTTCATTTTCAACTGCAAAATTTATGGGTAATTCTTACATTAAATACATTGATCCGGATTACAGAATGAGAAACCATCACTTCACTACTGTATCCTTAAATTTTAGTACTACTGAAACAGAAGGCTTAATTGTATGGATAGGGAAGGCTCAAAATGAAGAAAATGATTTTCTGGCAATTGGTCTCCATAATCAGTCCTTAAAAATTGCAGTTAACTTAGGAGAAAGCATCTCTGTACCTGTGATTTATAGCAATGGCACATTCTGTTGTAATAAATGGCACCATGTAATTGTATCTCAAAATCAGACTCTTATTAAGGCCTACCTAGATGACAATCTAATTCTCTCCGAGGATATCGATCCACACAAAAAATTTGTTGCTCTAAACTATGATGGTATTAGTTATCTAGGTGGCTTTGAATATGGTCGAAAGGTAAATACTGTTACTCAAGAGATTTTCAAGAGAGATTTTGTTGGCAAAATTAAAGATGTATTTTTTCAGGATTCAAAAAAAATTGAGTTAATTAAGTCAGAAGGATACAATGTTTATAATGGAGATGAACAAAATTAGGTTACACGAACTACTACTGGCAATTATAATCTATAAAATATACATGTAAATGTAGTTATTTTGGCAGTTATTTCTTTGGCACATTGTTTACTGGAAATTGTTTACTATTACCTGAGATAGTCTAAATGCTATCATCTTTTATATAAGCTTACAAAATATAGCTAAAGAAAAGATTCTGGTCATTTTCCCTATATTCAATTTATCTGTAAATATGTTAATTCCTAAGTTTTCACTCCATTAGTTCATTTAGTGTTTATTCATTTGTGAATTGTTTTCAAATAAAATTTAGGTGGGAATGAATCAGCATTACATACAAAGAAAAATCAGAAAATAAAAATGCAACTTATTAACTGAAGGAAAAATAAAAATTATATAAGGAAATATAACCATAGTCTATAGTATGGCTCAGCTATGAATAGCTATATGATTACAATAATGTGAAATCTGAATATTGACTTAAACCAAAAATTTTTATATTGACTGTGGGAAGGTGGAAGGTGGGGGGAAGGAGAGTTGGTTGGTGAGAGTTAAATCCTTATCTTCCACAGCAAGTTATCAACTGATATCTCTGTAACAGAAAAAATAGCTATATGTGCCACTTACAAGTATGAAGGCAAATATCCTAAGAAATGTCTAAAAGAATTCAAAGTGGTTACTTCTGGAGAGCACAGCAGTGCAGACACTGTTGCATTCTGTTTATAAACCTTGTAAAATTACCATGTACTTATACAACTGATCAAACTTAAAAATGAAACTTCATTCATGTTTAACTTTTCAAGTCTACAGGCCTCAAAATTGGGCATAAAACAGGTTCTGAATAATGCTATTAAAAATTATTGTCCTGATAATATCTGTACCATTAAAAGTATAACTTGAGAAAGTGCACGTTGCCCAAACACCAGTTACCGACACAATTGTGAACAGCATTCTCACCCCCAGCACTGCAGACTGGGAGTCAGTTATCGCTGCTGTCAGCATTTTCAGAGTTTGATATTGATGACAACTTTGGCACCAAAAAAGCAACTGACAACACATAACTGACACAAAGCACTAATAGGTAGAATAGGACGATGTGGAGAAAGAAAATCTTGGTATAAGCAGCATGTAAAGCTTGAAGGGAAAAATACATAATTATTAAATGGAGAAAAATCTTTAGGAAGAAGACTGATGCATAGATAGCTTCTCAATGCTATTAAAAAGCAAAATTTGCCTGTGCAGGTTCCAGTCTATAAAAAGAAACTAAGTAAGCAATTTATCATTCGAAAAACTTTACTGATTTCTTCTTTCCCTTTTTGCCTTGTTATTTTGCCACTCCATTGCAATCAGAAAACTAGACATTCTTGGAAGGTGCTGGAACCAACGTTAAGAACTTTGGCACCATCCACTAAGACACAAATTGCCCCATACGAACATTAGAAAGTGCGTCAGCAAAATATAATATAATGTAGAATTGCAAAATGTCTATACATTGATTCAAAGGGGGTTTTTTGGGGGGTGAGGGGAGGTAGTGAGGCAGACTGTCCCTGAGCTAACATCTGTGGCAATCCTCCTCTATTTTCTTTTGTATGTGGGACACCGCCACAGCATGACGTGATGAGCAGTGTGTAGGTCTGTGCCCAGGATCTGAACACGTGAATCCCAGGCCACCACCTGGCCAGCCCCCCAAATCTAACTTTTAAAGATACACATTTTACGTATCAAGGAAAGAAAGCAGTTCAATGGAAGGTTACAAAAGCTTACGGAAACTTTGAACCACACCCCCATCACACTGGGCCACAGGTTCTCTCACAAGACAGTGGGCTTTTCCTCAAAGCAGCGCTTCCCAAAGTATAGTCCAAGGACACCCTAGGGCCCCTCGATCTTCTCAGGGGATCCACAGAGTACTTCCTTTCCCAAACGCGGTGAAGCCAAATTTTCTCCATATATTTCAAACAAAATGACATAACGCAAAACATTGCAGAAGCAGATAAGAGAATCTAGCTGTCTTAAGTTAGATGTTGGAGATACACGAAAATGAAAACAAATGACTCTTCTTACTAAACTGATTTAGTTTGGAAGTTATTCTTCATAAAAATGTTGTAGTAAGACAATGGGGTTATCGTTGAACAAATTAACAAATATTTTTAAAATTTGTAACAGTTTAATTTCTAATATGCTAAATAACGATAAAATCCACAAAAAGAAAAGCTCTTTAGCGTTCTCAATAATTCAGTGTGTAAACAGGTCCTGAAAACAACGTTTGACAACTGTTGCTTTAAAACCCTGCTGCTCCCAGCTGCAGTTCGCCCTGAGATGTGGCACTCGGCTACCACACTGCGAGCTCCACGAGGCTGGAGGCTGCCGGTGCCTCACCACTGAATTCCAAGAACCTAGCAAACGTCTGCAGAATAGGCACAAAAACTGAAAACCGCTACCGAGAGATTCTCTTCTAAGTCAACAGGATTTGGTGAAAACATTTTTTTTTACCCTAAAATCCAAAATTTCATGTGGTGACTTATCCACATTTTTCATTTTTGCTATCCTACTGATGGTGTTGAAGATCTCTCGTGTGATACACTTTTCCACCACAAATAAAAATAACGGATCCTGGAAGACCTTTAAGATAATTTTACTATAAATGTTACAATGCTTCTAAAATGAAGCGTTGAATGTAAACAGGAGAACATTTTTTAAAGTAAGGTGAAATCCCTAAGCCAGGGGATGGCAGTAGTATTCACCTTCTTAAAGACTCCTTTTAAGAGTTAGTTCCTGCAAAAAACCATTAGTTTGGGAGGGAAAGTATTCTCTTTAACATAAGGAATGTTTTTAAAAGACAGCTTGGGCAGATATATATATATATATATATATATGTCTGTGTGTGTATATGTACACACACACACACTCAATTATGTCATAGAAGCAGCAAAGGTATTTGGGGATCCTGGGAGGTATAGTGGATTCACGGCCTTTCCTTTACACATGTTGAGTTCTCCCCAATGACTCGGTTCTGCATCTGTAAGATGAAAAGCAGTGCACTCATGTTTTCAAGACCCTTCTCGCTATTATGTTTTTCAACTGACCCATTCATGTACCCTCTTGCTCTATACATGAATTACTGAAATTATTTATGAAACAGGAATCAAAGAATCAAGAGTGTTTGGCATCTTTTTAAAAGCAGCAACCAATTTTATTCGTGATTTGCTTTGGGAGACAAAAGTCAAGTGCTGAGTATGTCTACCGCCCTTTCTGTCACCAGTGAGTGGTCACCTGATCAGTTTTAGAGGGATCTGAAAAGATGGGAATAGCGCAACTGGTATATTCGAATGTGGAAATTAAATAAACTATTTGTTTTAATAAGATCTCATTCATTTGCAAGCTCTCATAACGCTTTTAAACTTGATTCATATTCTTCTTTAAAAATACAGCTACTATTAAAAACTAAGAACAGCTGATCATAAATTTACCACTTAAGTAGGTTTATATGTTAATCCAAACGCATATACACACGTTAACATGCACGCAGTTTAAGTTGTCATTCCATTCTCTTCCCTATTGTTGGTATTATTTTTCTTAACTTTTAAACGTATTTACTATGGCCTTAGATATTTTGTAACTCCAAACACTTAAGATTCATTAGTTCACTCACAACTAAGCTACAATTAGCAAGTCAAGAGCTGTGCTAAATAGAATAATGGCCCCAAAGTTGTCCACATTCCAATCCCTGGAACCTGGAAACATGTGAGATTTCACAGCAAAGGGGAATTAAGGTCACAGATAGAATTGAGGTTGACAATCAGTGGACCTTAAAATAGGAAGATTATCCTGGATTATCTAGGTGGACCCAATGTCATCACAAGGGTCCGTAAAAGTAGAGAGGGAGTCAGAAAGGAGGGTCAGAGACAGCACCATGAGAAAGACTCTGCCCCATGCTGGCTTTGAAGACGGAAAAGAAAGTGGGGGGCCTCTGGAGCTGGAAAAGGCAAGGAGATGCGTCGTCCCCTAGAGCTTCCAGAAGGAATGCAGCCTTCTGACACCCTAATCTCAACTCACTGAGATCCACATCAGACTTCCAATCTATACAAGTGTAAGATAAATTTGTGTGGTTTTAAGCCACTAAGGTTGTAATAATTTGTCACAGCAGCAACAGAAAACTAATAAAAGAGGACTGGAGAGTGAGGATTTGAAATGAGCTTGCAGACCTGCACAGGAACCCACAGGGGGCGGGCTGTGTCTTCCTGCTCACTCTGAGGAGTCGGGCTGCTCAGGAAGGGTTCAGACAGGCCGGCGGCACTGGGAGAGAAAGGGCTGTGGAAGGTACCCACAATGACCAGGCTTTGTCCTCTACCCGGTTCTCAGTCCTCAGACTGAGAGATCCCACAACTGCCATGCACAAGGACTGTGGAGAAAAGCAGAACTGAGCCAGTTCCAGCTCTGACAACAGCAGTCTAACCTTGGGCAAGTTTTTCAACTTTTCTAAGTACCAGTTACCTCAGCCCTAAGATAAGTCTCCGCCTTTCAGGCCGACCAAGGTTTCTATAAAGCGCTCTGCACAAGGTCTAATACACAGAGGGTCCCGGACTTTCTTACTGCCACAGGATTACAAGGAGTGAACTTCCTAGGCAGAGATACCGCCTACACTTTACTCAGCAGAGGAATGTATAAACTATCTTAAGATGGTTCTAAATTTCAAAAAGCATTGAACTGTTTTTAGAGCAAGTTTTCCTTAAAACAGGAGAAACTGAAAGATGAACTTCATATAACTGACTAGCTTGTGTAAAGCTGGTTGTAGGTGAGACTTAAAGACTGAGAATGCCTTTGGGTCTACTATTCACTGAAAACTTCTCTCATTTTCCCTTTCTGTCCTCACGAGTTAGAACCTCAAGCAGTCGATATGCCCAAAGCTGCTCCCCACAACATTATCAACGGGCGGGGTTAGGAGACCTGGTTCTAACATTCACTGGCCCTGTAATCCAGGAGCCAGTCATCACTAATAGCGATCTACATGGGATGTATCAAGATCCAAGGAGACGTGAAGGAAGAATTTTAAAGTAAGCATCACAACAATATGTATAAGAAACAGCTGCCTCAGAGGTCATCGAAAACTGACGTGGAGGCTTTCTTCCGCTTGTGAAGCCATTCCTCTTGTACCCTGCAAAAGAACTCCGGGGTCTGATCAACCCCCAACCAGAGACATCAGTGAAAGCAGACTCACAACACACACATCTGAAATCAAAGCTAATTTTTTGGATTTGAGGTGGGGTTGTTTTGGTAAAACATTGACAACAATTTCTTCATAATGGTGTAAGAGATGATTGACCTTAGGTTTTGTCCGTTTGCAGACTAACTTGTTTTCTAACAATCTGCAAATGAAAAGTAGACCAAAATTAAACAAACTTTATTTTAATACAAGTCCTCTGTTTCAGAACTTTCATGATGATAAATTTCAGAGGAGAAGAATGACAAAAAAAGGGTATAGAGTTGTTGCAAACTAGACAAAATGTGTGGTTTTGAATTTCTGCTCCTCTTCTCTCCAGTGAGAAAAGCAAGGCTGATTCAGTTTCAAAACCTATTTTTAACTCTAATTTTAGGAAAACAAACTTTACCTTAATTTCGTGAAGTCATTCATATTTTTCTTCATTAATATAGGTAAGTAAAAACACTGGTTTTTCTCTTTTTGGTCTCAAGTGTTAGTATCATTTGGTAGCTATTGCTTTAAATTACAGCAATCAAAACAGTATGTCCTTTAGAGTGTAAATAAACTTAAGTGTGGATTAACAATAGCCTCCATGTGATTTGTATTTCAAGCAAAACTAGAATATGAAATTGTAGAGTGACCCCCAAAACAAGTTAGGGTTAATTACACATTTTACAAAAAGATTCACGTTTCTCTTATATACAAAGTTCTGTGGTCTTACAATGATTAGTGTACCAAATTTTGACGGTGCACCACTTTTCAGAAACATACCTAGAAAGTGGGCTTTAACGGCAGTTTTTCAGCTGTAGTTCTAAATTCTAGCCTCTTCAGAACTACATGACTTATCTCCACAGCCTATAACCTAAGATAAAGAAATCGTTTTTCTCCCTCATCTAATGCTCGACATAGCTATGCCTACGTTCTTGGCTGAGTAAGAGAATAAAAATGTCTGAAGGTAATTAAAGCTTTAAAGAAGAAATTGTTTTACTACCGAATTTCAAATCACACACACAAAATAGGTGAGAAA